CTTGGTGGAGAATCAAAGAATTTGCCTCCACGACCCTGGAATTTAACGTATGCCGCCTCACATACGCATGCTAGATGGCACGCGGCTTTCACCACCCGTCCGTCTGTTTGTCAGCTTTGAGTAGCAGCCAGTCCCTGATGTTTACCCAGCGGTTCTGGTACGCAAGCACATGACCAATGCCGCGTGAACCCTTCCTTGGGCATCAGGGATAAGGATACCACATTTGAATCTTTGTGGTATCTCTGACTGTGTCTTTATAGTCAGCAAGGTGTTGGATTTAAGGTCGAGAGTATTAATATTCATCTTCAACCAGTCCAGAGTCTTCTAGTCGTCGCACCACAGCTTCGAGACACACTCCGTGTAAACGGGTTTGCCAATAAATACTGGGCCCGACGCATCAGGGTCCTGGTTACTCCAGGCCTCGCTGATCATCTTCCTCTGTATAGCCACGAGGATGTCATCAGCTACCTCATTTGGTATGTGACCTGAACGTGCACACGTTAAGGCCACAACCAAATCTGCGTTTAGCAGCAGAAGCGTAGCTCGTTCTTGCAGCCTTTGGTTGCTGTTTGAGTCGCACTTTTTTGTGCTCGCCTCTCGGCGAGATGGACTCATCTAGCATGCTTTTGGCTGCTCTTTCCTTCTTTCCAGGGCACTTGGCTGCTCTCTGCTTCCTAGTCCCAGAGCTGATTCCGGCAGCCGTGCCTACTACTCGGGTTGGATTTTCAGCCCCAAGCACCGCAGTGGCAATAGCTTGCCCAGCTCCCTTAGTGCTGCTATTGGAAGCAGTGAGCGCGGCTTTTTCTCTGCGGCCTTTTTCTCGCTGCTCCTTATTCTTCTTTTTGGCCTTTGACTGTCTGATGGACTAGACCTACCTGATGGTCCGTCAGGTCGGCAAGTCAACTTTTTGGGTGCCATGCCCTTCCCCTTACGGCTCACCACTTGCCAGGCAGCAGTGAAAAGGTCATCAGTTTTTTAGGGCTCCGCAGGAGGCTTGAACACGCGGCCCCTTGCTCATTTCTCGCGTCCAGCTCCTCAGATTTGGAACTGGTTTTGAGAACATCCAGCACGGAAATTGCACCCTTGGTGGGGCCACCTAGCTGGGTAGTACTCTGTGGAACCGTCGTTTTAATGGCGGTTCTTTCTGGTTTGTCAGTGTCTTAGGAAAACATCTCTGACACGTCTCCCTCTCTTCTAATGGGCCTTGTATTGTCCATATTATTTATGTGCTGAGAAATCGTACCCCCGGTTAGGTTTGGAGTTTTGTTAGGATTACCGGAGGAATATAGGGACACACAGTTGGCTCACAGCGCGACATCGGGAGCTCGAAAAGGCCCATCCCCACTGCCTGAATAGACTTTCACTTGCTCCGTCAGGATGGCCTCTACCACCACCTAGCCCTTTTCAGGGAGACTAGGCAGCCCCCACATCCTTTGCATGCGACCCTCTGACGGGACGGTTAGCAATTTCCCTATCTGTGGCTAGCAGATAGGGCCACCGTTTCGCTTGAAATCCGGACCAAAGAGGGCGTGTAGCCTATCGACACTATATACCCCAGTGACGATCGGCTCAACCCTCCAGGACTCCTTCATCCCCGCGTACGACGCTCAACTGCGCTGGTCTGGGGTTTTTATCCGGCGGAACCACCCCCCTCCTCTTTTATCCGGGCTTGGGACCGGCGGCACCAAAAAGCATAGACAGAGTTGCCTGTGCTTTATGTTGCAGGCAGAGTTAAGAAAAGGAGTAATCTAACTACTGCCTGAAAATACAGAAAAATTGGTCTGCCTCGCACAATAATCTTCCACTTCTAAATTTCAATTAAGATCTTTTAAGTGCATAGATATGTAATAATAATAATAATAAATTATTTATTTGCCTCAAATCTTTTAACAATTTAAATGGAACCCTGACTTCTAAACTAGTTGTAATTACTGTATCTTAGAAACCAGTGTCTTCCTGTCTTTATTTATATAATAGTTTTTTTTTTGTTAATTTTTGTTAATAGAGCTCTTTATATAGGGACGTGCGCTTAGGGCAGCCGATCAGAATAGTAAAAAAAAAATTCGGAAGGTCGAAAACCTCAAGCGCGTCAGATTAAGGCAAGGTAATAATTAAATTATTACATGCAGAAAAGTGTGTATTTCAATAATCTGACGATTTGCACTTGACCTAACGAAATAGGAGTCACAGAGTTGTAAAAAAAAACGTCACCTTGATTTACTCGAGCGCGGTTAATTTTATTTTTATTTTCAAGGGAATCATTTAAGGATCACGAAAATAATATAATCTGCCGATTTTCACAAGCCGAAGTAGTTAAAATCCTCAATAAGTGTGGTGTGTGCAGCTGCTGAGAACTACAATTCTTTTTTTTTATATAGAACAGGGGGCAAACGAGCATGCGGCTCACCTGATGTTAAGTGACTACCGCCGCCCATGATCAATCGCAACACCAGAGGAATTGCAGGTGCGTTGCCGGCCCTTTAGAAAGGAGTACGCTCTTTTCTTGAAGGTCCCCAGGTCGTATCGGTCCGGAAAAATCGCTGTTGGTAAACTATTCCACAGAGAGGTTGTACGTATTTTATTCGTATTCGTAATGTAATAATAATGCAATAGTCTTTAATTCGTATGTAATAATATACAATTTGTATGTATTACCCACTTCGCGCCTCTCTTCCCTTCTCACTCTTTCTCTATCTCTCGACAATAATTCAAGTGATGATGAAGATTAAAAATTTATTTTCAACGTTTTTTTCTTCATTTATTAGACCGATTCAAAAAAATCGATTTTTTTTTGTTTGAAATCCCGCATTGCAATATCTTCACAGTACCAAAAAAAGACGCCTGTGAAAACCAGAGCTATACCCATTTAGAGGTCGATTTTTATTTTTCGTTTAAATAACAAGGGAATTTTTTTTAGAATATTCTACCTCACAAACCTTTTTTTATGTGCGATAAATATTTTTGTTGGAAATCAAACGCTCTACAAAAATATCTTTTGTCATTTTTTGATAAATCCATCTGTTCAAAAGTTATTTGACCTTGAAGTCAAATTTATAGTAAATTTTGAGATCTCTTTTCTGTTCCGACGAAATTATCAGACTTATCACAAAATGTCATAGGAACTTTTTTGTAGGTAATTTTATTTCTGAAAAATTATCATAAATAATGTTTTTTGAAATATCGCATTGTTTTCTAGTTGTTTTCATTTTAATGTAAAGCTTTTTTTAAATCCTATTACCCAGATTAAGGAAATTCCTCCACATAATTGTCAGATTACGGGTCAGCACGATAAGGACACCATGCTGAATTGTCAGTTTATTATAATCTGACGCGCTCGAGTATTTCAATGTCACGATTTTTTTTGCATCTTCAAAAATTTGCCAAGAGTTTTTGGTCGCGTCCAAATCGTAAATCTTTTGAATAGGAGCTTCTTTAGGGTGTACTTAACATATCTTTGGAATATCTGACGCGCTCGAATAATTTTTTTAATCCTATTTTCAACCTTCGCACGACTACCTCCACCATTCAAAATGTCAGATTAATATTCCTCAGTTCTCACAAACACGTGGGACGTTATACACTGTAAATATCTGACGCGCTCGAGTATTTTTGTGACTTTTTTTTTTACATTTTTGAAAATCTATAGCCGCTCATCCCACCACTGAAAAGGCATACATCATATAACCTGTTTTTGTTTTTAGAATCTAAGCCTAAGCTTCATTATCCAAAAGCTCCCCACGACGCTCGAGTAACTCCCAATTTAGCCTCTCGGGCTCCCATACTATAATACGGAAGTTAATTATGTACCCTGTGACTATTTTAATTACATTACAAGGAAAATACATAATAAAATAAATCAATATTTCTATTTTAACAATTATGTGACTACAACAAAAAAATTTACTTAAGTATTCGGTATTTGGCCGAATAGTATCTATGAAGATATTCGGTTTTCGACTGAATGAAATAAAAGTAGCAGAATAGGCCATATACCAAATAATAGCTGAATATTCATTACCAGTGTATTATAGATACAAGAGTATCCTGAAAAATTATAAAAAATGAGAATTTACTGATTTATTTCATGTATTTATTTATTTACACCAACATTATAAAGCGAGAAACAATACATCTGAAACAATACTATTGATAGGTGATAAAACCATGCCTGAACTAGATAACTGTAACTTAGAATACAAAATAATATATATATAAATATAATCGAAATAAAAATAGGAAAAATGTGAGACCTATAGGCTTTTTTTTTTTTTTTTTTATTAAAATATGTTGAAATATCAATCCCATATCACTTTTTACGAATTAATTTAAATATAATGAATTTTTTTACGAATAAACTTATAATTTAATTTTTCTGGTTAGACTAATTGTAATCTAATGTGAGAAAATAAGGTTGCATATGCATTGTCACCTCTGAGGACTAACTAGGAATGCCTCACAACCTGTAATTATATTATTTATAGTGAACTGTAATTAGACCATTAACTGTACTGTATAGTATTTTTTTTTATAGGATAGGGTGACAAACGAGCACACAGTCCACCTGATGGTAAGTGGTTGCTGCGGCCCATAGACATCTACATCTATCTTCCATTACAAATCAAAATGCAGATGCGTTGTCACCCGTGAGGACTGAGATGGAATGCCTCATTTCCAGTAAAAAGGGTCTCCGGTTCTCTACACTCACCATACGAAATACAGCAGCATTAAGCTACTATTTCACGCTGGTATTCTGTGAGAGCGTGGTCCTTCCCCGGTCGAGCCGACCCATTCGTGCTACAACTATACTACTAATATAATTGCAGCATGGCTCTACCACGTAAAAAAGTAAAACTTTAAAGTATATAACTTTAAATATAAATTTATTGCTAATTATACTATTTATATATACTAATAGTATGATTATTAGTGTGTAATCATATTTGCTTTGCATTAGTACTTGCAAATAAACTATTATTTAATCAAATAAATATGTATTTCAGAGAGAGTAACAGTCGAGAGTGTTTGCAAGTTTTTATCGGCGAAAGTGAAACTAATGCAGGAACAATTGAATAAAATGCAAAGTACTATAGACAAAAAGGTATATTTTTTGTGTGTAAATAAATACTAGATAGTCAAGATTCGAAATTTCCCCAGGACGTTTCTAAAAAGACTATTTAAAACTTAAGACTAATAATGTGCGATACATCCATACTATACTATAATATTATAAATGCGAAAGTGTGTTTGTCCTTCTTTCACGTTGCAACAGAGCTGGCATGGCATAATTTTTTGTATGGGGAATTTTGTAGAGTGACATAGGTTACTTTTTTCCGCGGAAAAACATCTCATTCCCGTGGGAAAATCGAATATGTTGCACAAGTTTGTCCTTTTTTCACGTCGCAACAGATTTCGGCATGGCATGAATTTTGGTAGGGGGATAGTTCGGTGGCTGTAGAGTGACATAGGCTACTTTTTTCAGCGGAAAAACATCATCCCTGTGGGAAAATAGAATATGTTGCAAAATTAAATTCAGCTAGGTGGCGCCACCGTGATTCTACAAGACGGACGACGGTACGATGGACGAACACAGAAGGTCAGAATATCTGGATTATTATGTCTTTTTACCGAAATTAAGATAAAAAATGTATGGATCTGTATTTTTCCACGCAGGACCGGGAAGAGAGCGATAAAAAACATAAAATTCACCAGCTGATTTTCTTCAAACGTTTTGGTGCATTGTAATTTACAGAATAGGCGATAACCTCGCAGACGATATTAAGTAATCCGTTCATGCTCTGCCTACCCCGCAAGGGTTACAGGCGTGATTATAAGTATGGATCAGAAATACTATCACCACCTGTCACGCTTTCACCCTTATATTACTTATCTGTGGTAGAAACAGTTCTTAGTAAGCCTTATTAATAAGTCTTGTATATTTATTGAACTGAAATTAATACAGTTCTTATATGTGGTTATGAATGAATCGGTATTACAATAAGAAAATTTGTGCAAAATTAGAAGAAAAATATTTTTTGAGTGTTCTTATTAACTAACGTATACATAGTTGATTCCGCTAGATGTCGTTACTAGGTTTTTAAAACGCGGTAACGAAATGTTTCCTGACATGTACTTAACTCCCGCCGTTGAGCCGCGCGTCAACTTATAGTGCATACGGTACCTATACGCTTAAATTGTTTCTATTTCGTAGCTTATTCGACTACCTGCTTTGGATTTCGGTTGTTTGTTATTTGCTTTGTAATTTGGTTAAGGTTGAATGGATTTATATTGGCTTTAATTTTCGGATTTGTGTATTTTCTTGGATCGGTTTTGTTGATTTTGTTGGTATTCCTTTATACATATTTAGACTCTGATCTGGATTTTGTTTATTTAGAATCGTGAACTGGTTTTCGTTGTTTTAGTTTGTTTAACCCTTAATTTGGCAAAGAATAAAATGTAATAAAATCATAATTTTTTTATAAAAATTTATTGTAAACATTTATAGGTGTTACAAAAAAATAGTGAAAAAATATAGGAACTTCAGATTTCCTGAAAAACAATGTATGTCATAGCATACATTGCCAAGTGCCCATAAAAACATTAAGGAAATGTGTTGTATGCCGCGACATACACAGCCAATTACAGTACAAAATGATAATAATAATACCAGAATGTTACTGCTGGGCCTCTTCTAGAATGCAAAAAAAAAACAAGGTGACAACGCCTAGAAATGGCCAACTTTACTAAACCCGCACATGGTAGTCTAATTGACAATTCCTAGAACTTTTTCCGGCTACAAAGTACAGATGGACTTGGCATTTTATACATAACACTGACGTTAGCTTTGAACATAGCCTACGACCTTGGCTGGTCATTGTCATAAAATGGCCAACATTGTCATAGCGTGACGATTCTACCGGGTTGACTTGTGGTGTACAGGCTTTGTGTGTTTATCGGTACGGGTGCGTCCGAACTTTGTCAACCCCTCAGAAATTTCAAATCGAAAATCCTTGAGAGGCTTCCATTGTTTTTGCGATTTTGAGCAATCTTGTCGGTATAGAAGCCACGCATTATTGATACATATGTCGAGAATTTGCGCAAATATGCCGATGTACCAACGCCGGGTCTTAAATGGGGGTTTTGTAAAGAGAAATGAGCATATCGGCTAAATCGACTCCCCCATATGTTTATTATAGTCTTCGACAATTTGAGGGCAATCTACATCCACTTTGTTTTTAGAGTATCTTTTAATTTTTTCTACTGGCTCTGCACCTACGTAAGAACTTATCAATGTTACGGCTTTGTTGTCGTTCCACCGTACTATTGCTAATCGGTTTTTATCGCAGACCACTTGAGCATAACTGCCGCGGGGTTTCTTTTTCATTTCTTTTGCTGAGTGCGCTGCTTCAACCTGTTGCTCCTGACTGTTCCCAATCCAAATATTCCATAGTCTTCTCTAAGTATATAAAGTAGCTCCGGGCAAGTAAAGAAATTGTCGCAGAAAACAAAAACCGGTTTATTTTTTATACTTTTACACAAAGCAATGACAACCAGAGCCCCAAATCCAATGACAACCTCAGCCCCAAATCCAATGGAAACTTCCTTATCTGTAAAAGTATGAAATCTAAATGTGTCCTCGCCACCATACAAAAGAAAATCATAAATCATGCCCGACACTCCAGCACGAACATAGTTTTTGTAGCCCCACTTGTTGGGTTTATCCTTCATGTATTGACGTCGCTTACCCGCTTTGGTCCCTTTATAGGGAATCATCATTTCGTCAATGCTGTATTTCTTTTCATTATCTTGAGCTAAGCAATTTTCTCGAATTTTTTGTAATAAAGACCTGACTTTATAATATCTGTCGGAGTCTTGTATATTGTTATCAACAAAATTCAAATGACGACGGATTTGTTGATACCGTTTTAGACATCAAATCGGCTATGGGATCGTATCTGCACCGTAAACTCCAGTAATCGGTGTACGAGGGCATACTAATAACACCCATGATAATATGAATAGCTAAAAAATCTAAGGTGGTGTGTCTTTCCGAGTGTAGTGGTGTTAGGAGTAGTGGTGATGCAGATAGTACGCGCAATCGCAAAAGGCACCCACGACTTTTTCTGCCATCAGGGCGGCGCCAATTAAAAATAAGGTGTCATATTTGACAGATTTCATAGCGGAGAAGTCAATTTGTTCTAAAAATGTTAGTGGTTAGTGTTTCTTTCTGTACTTTTAGTTATATTTTATATTAATTAGATTAAAAATAAAACATATATTCATAAAAAGGGAAAATAAAGGGCAAACCATTGAGGCATTGTTTTAATATATTTAATATAGTATATAATTTTATATATTTTCAGTCAGTTTAGTCATTATACATAAACACTCACGCCTGTCGCCCAGAGAGGTAGGCAGAGACTACAGACTTCCATTTAGCACGATCCTGACATACCTTTCTCGCCTCTTCCACATCCATATACCTACGCATACATGCTCGTCGGTTAAGGGTACTCTTAATTTGGCCCATTTTTAGTATATCGCCAATTTGGTCGACAAACTTCCGCCTAGGACGTCCCTTTCCGACTCTTCCATTCACTTCTGCAACATATATTTGCTTTGTCAGTCTTTCCGCATTCATTCTTTCTACATGACCAAACCACCGAAGCATTCCTTTCTTAATCCTGGTCACCGCATCATCTTGCAAACCACACTCTTCTTTTATCACACAGTTTCTCACCCTGTCACTCAGATTCAGCCCTAACATACTCCTTAGCGACCGCATTTCTACTGCATTTATTCTACTCTCGTGCTTCTTCTGCCACACCCAACTTTCACTACCATACGTTAAAGTAGGGACTAATACAGCACTGTGAATTGCCATACGTGCCTTTTTTGACACATTCTGACTTTTCACAATAGAGTGTAGAGCCCCATTTACTTTATTTCCTGCATTCACTCGTCGTTCAATGTCCTTATCATATCTCCCATCCCTGCTGAATACACATCCCAAATATACGAACTCATCCACTTGCTCAATTAACTCTCCTTCTATTCTTATTTCACATACCGTTTTGCTTTCATCTCTTTCAAAAACCATCACTTTCGTCTTACTTGCGTTCACTTTCATTCCCCTTTCTTTTAATGACCTGTTCATTAATGTAACCATCATTTGCAACTCGGCCGCCGACGACGCAAGTATGACATCGGCGTACAAAAGGCATTTGATGGTTAACTCACCCATTCTTAACCCGCATTCTTCAACTTTCAAATTTTCCAAACAGCTGTCCATAAATAGGTTGAACAGCCACGGGGAAGCTACACAGCCCTGTCTGACACCTTTATGGATGCCAAACCAGTCCGAGTAGACCCCGTTGATTCTAACACAAGCACTCGAGTCCCTATACAGAGACTTTAATGCCTGTATCAAACCAGCGCTCAACCTCAATGCGTTCAGCGTTTGCCATAACACATCCCTGTCCACTCTGTCATAAGCCTTTTCCAAGTCCATGAACGCACAAAAAACTTTTTGGTTTTTCGCCAAAAACTTCTCCGCGATCATGCGCATGGAAAAGACTTGATCTGTACACCCCATTCCCTTTCTAAATCCCGCTTGCACATCCCAAATTTTTTCATCAGTTTCTTTCATAACTCTTTCAATTAGTACCTTAGCATACAGTTTTCCCACAATGCCAAGAAGGCTGATACCACGGTAGTTTTTACAGTCCTGCTGTGACCCTTTTCCCTTATATATTGGGACTATCACGGCTTTGCACCAGTCTCCCGGTACCCGCTTTAGTTCCCAACATAAATTAAACAAGGTGTACAGCAGGCCTGCCACCACGTCCTCTCCAGTCCTTAGCATTTCGAGTGAAACTCTATCATATCCCGCTGCCTTACCTACTTTCATGCTTTTCATTGCTTTCATTATTTCATCTATATTTATCTCCCTATCTCTTTCATCTTCTTTCGGAATTTCTATTTCATTTAGTTCACACTTCTCCTCACTCATAAATTCGCTTTCAAAATATTCCTTCCATCTCTTTAGACTCAACACTTCATCATTCAGGATACAGCCATTCTCGTCTCGTATCGCATTCAATCTAGGCTGTTTTGAAAGTCCCCTGGTATTTCTTACGAGTTTCCAGAACATTTTAATATTTGCCTGGAAGTTATCCGATATTCTTCTATCATTCCTATCCGTTCTTTCTTGCTTTTTCCTTTCAACTAATTCTTTTACTCTCTTATTTAAACGTTTAAACTCTGCCTTTTTTCTTTCATTCTCATCATTCTTATCGCCAGAGTTACCAGCTTTGGTCGCTAGTAAATCTAGCCATGCTCTCTTCTTTGCTTCAACTTCCATACGTACCTCATCATCCCACCATAACGTATTGTCTTTCCTTTCATTCGTTCTCTTACTAACACCACATACTTCGGTAGCTGCATCCACTAAACCTTTCTTAACATTATGCCACACATTCTCCAAGTCTAACTCATTCACACACAACTCATCCAAATTACTTATATTTTCTCTCAGTCTGCATTTGTACTTGTCTTTCACATCTTCATCTTGTAACCTCTCAATTCTTATACGCTGTAACGCAGTGGTAGACACAGATGTCCTATGCCGCCAACGTCTGAATAAACCCCTAATTCGGCATAAGACCAGGTAGTGGTCCGTCCCTACGTTGGACCCCCGGTAAACCCTTGTATCCACCACTGCGCTCCTCATTCTTTCATCCACAGTTATGAAATCTATCATGCTTCTATCATCACCTCTTTCCCAAGTATACATGTGAATCTTCTTATGACGAAAGAAAGTGTTCGTCACAAAAAGATTCCTTTCCACACATACGGTGAGGAGGCTTTCACCATTCTCATTTATACTTTCATCACCAAACGTTCCCAATATCCTTTCATAACCAAGCCTCCTCACCCCAACCCTTCCATTAAAATCTCCTAGCATAATAATATTTTCATTTCCCTTACACTTCATTAACACCATCCTTACCATTTCCCAAAACTGCTCCCGGATATAAGTGGGCTTAGACATGTCTGGGGCGTAGACCCCTAACACAAACAACTTCTTTAAGCCCACTTTCATTCGTATCCATAGCAGTCTTGGGCTTACACATTCATACTCTTTCACACATTGGCCCATTCGTTCTGAAAGGATGATACCTACTCCCTGGCATGCCCGCTCGATCTCGTCTACACCAGACCAGTATGCGGTATACATGCCATGTGCAGTGACATCCTTCCCCTTCCTTTTCGTCTCATTTACACATAATACATCTATTCCTCTATCATACATCATATCGCATACTTCATCCATTTTATCATTCATTGCTCCACATACATTCAACGTAGCCAGACGGGCCTCTGCAATCCACTTTTCGCCCCTCCGGGAGACAGAACGTGACGGGTGGCGAGCCTCGTCGCCGGTTTTCCTCCCGGAGATTCTTCGCACCCCTGCCCCATTAAAGGGGCGCCGGGAACTCGGGGCCATTTCTTTTACTTTTTGCCTCATGGTGCGAAAACTAGGGCGTGGCATATTTTACGCCGCTACCACACGGCGAGTAGCCGAGTCTGTTCTTTCGGCTTTGTCGCTCTTTTAGCACCATCCGGGGGAAACGTGTAGGGTGGGCCTAGGATTAGGTGGTCGAAGCCTACGGACGCGAGCGACTTATCCCCCATCAGTTTAGTCAATAACGTAAAATTTCCTGTATTGTTTAATAGATGGAATTAAACCGAAAACCGTGTTTAGGTCGCATAATTTGCATTTGTTACACTTTCCCCACTGTCACACTTGCCTCGGGTAACCTTACTGAAAACATAAAATAATTAAAAACTCATAATAATAATCATAATCCGTTCATATAACCCTTTCCCTATCGCGTAGTGTCGGTGTTAGATATCCACTACCCCATTTCAGACAGAGGAAAACTTAACCAGGAGTTGCGCAGCATTAGCATCTCCCTAAAAAGTAAAAACAGCTGAATTAAAATAATAAACTGCGGTTCTAAATCCTCTTGCCAAGCATGGCAACTATTTCAAATATTCCCCATATGAAGGCAATTTATGTAAGTAAATAATGGTAATGGTAATCCTTTTCAGATAATGAATAAAGAATACCCTGCAGTAATGTAAAATAAGATGAAGAGAAGATGCCGCATGTAGGGTATCTTTACCAAAACGTGGGTAAAGAAACCATATGCTCCCTTTATGTTCAAGGATACAGTCGCATACGACGGTGTTGCCAGATTTTAACATTTTTATATATCTTCACAACAGCCCAACAAAACTCCACTGCTGAACACAAGCCTCCTGTGGATTTCCTCATAGAAAGGTATATTTGCTATATTTGCCTTGCTTTGCAGATGGCTTGACAAGCGCAGTTCTTTATTATTATTGGCTTTTAAAAAAAAAGAGTAGGCTTTCTTATGTGTGCGCGAACACTACACATTTAAAGAACTAGTTTTTACGGATTTTATCGCGTTTTTATATTCCTGACGTTTCTAGTTCAAGATAGTACTATAAGTTCATACTGAGTAGACCGTAGATCGGAACAACGATTAATTATTCGTGACCATGTGTGCTGGAAAGTACTCGAAACGTGGGGAATATAAAACAATTTAATACTTACGTGCGCGATAAAATCCGTAAAAAGTAGTTTTATTTAAAATAGTGGGCTACAATGAATTCTTACATGTGCGCGAACACTACACATTTAAATAATACTAGGTTTCACGGATTTTATCGCGTATATTAACTTATTTTATATTCCTGACGTTTCGAGTACTTTACAGTACCCATGGTCACGCAGAACAGAGGTGTTCGACGTCCCAATGTCAAAGTTAACCACAGCTACCTCCAGATTAAAATTACTTTTTTTTAATTTCTTTGTTCCGATATACCCAGTTTGTACTGATAATACCGCGTAGATCGGAACAAAAATTAATGTATTAAAGTAGAACACGCCAAGCCTCATGGCGTTAAGTGGCACGTTCTAATGTAAAATAATATGTACTAAGTAATAAATTATATGTATATATATATATATATATATATATATATATATATATATATATATATATTGTAATGTATATTATATATATATATATATATATATATATATATATATATATATATATATATATATATATATATATATATATATATATATATATATATATATATATCAATCTCGTGTGTATGGTGGCGGTGTAAGATAACCCATAACCCCATTTTATCCATCCCGTAGGTGTCGTAAGAGGCAAGTATGGAATATGCTCCTAAGGCTTACCACGGCTCTTCATCACTGTTACCAGAAGTATTGATTGTCTCTTTGGTGGTCAGTGCCTAGTTGTCGTAAAAGCGACTGGAATTGGAAATCATTCAACTCGAATCGCAGATTATGAAGTGCCGTGTTCGAACCCGGTTCGAGACAAAAAAACATCAGTTTTTTGGCAAGAAATTCTCAATAGCAGCCTAAAGTCAGGAAGTTGACGGAGTTTCACCTCCGTACCTCGAAAAGCACGTAAAGCCGTAGGTCCTGCGCCTGGTCTCTCTTTGGTCGTGTCGGGTTGCCGTCTCATCAGACCATGAGAATGAGGGAATGGAGAATGCCTCGTGCTAGCGCTCACACTCGTGCATTTTAATCCTCTCAGCGCCGATGGCTAGTCTCCGTTGAGCGTAGCCATGACCGAAATTCGGTCTAGTTATTACCAGAAAATTTGTTTTGCATGGCGCTGTAAAACAATTGTATTTTCTTTAATTTTTAGACTCAGCAGTGCGAGAGTCATCTCACTCAACTGGCGGAGTTGGAGAGTGAGCGGATGACGCTGTTGAATAAAGCGAACAGTATGCGAGCGGATACAGCTGATATGAGAGCAAAGGTCTTGACGCTACAGGGTAAACTTGATGTAAGTCTATCTTTAAACCGGGTTTTTTTATAGAATATGTGTGACAAACGAGCACAGAGTCCACCTGATCGTAAGAAGATGCTGTGACCCATAGACATCTACATTTATCCTCAATTAAGAATCAGAACGCAGAATTACAATGCAGTAACTGATGACGACTGCCTCAAGATGGAATGCCTCCTTTTCAGTAAAAAGGGTCTCAGGTTCTCTACACTCATCATACGAAACATAGCAGCATCATCAAGCCGCTATTTTACGCTGGTATTCTGTGAGAGCATGGTCTTCCCTCGGTCGAGCTGACCAATATTACTACTGTTTTACAACCATTATATAGCTGCAGCTTGTCTCTCCACCACGTATAAATTCAGCCCTCCCCAACCTCCTACACCAGCATGGAGAAGCATGTTTTAGTTATTAGTGCGGCGTGATTAAGAATGTCGTTTAGAATGACAAATGGATTCATTTCAGACAAGCAAAAAGTTTACAATCACGTCGTCTAAATCTTTAGGCTTCTTCGGTAAGATCCGTAATAATCACTGATAGCATACTTGCTCCTAGTCGCTTCCCGGAATAATGAGTTAACGGAAAAAATTAATTCTCCGATCGCCGGCGCTTTTATACACAATAAAGAGAAATGAAGAACATTCTAGACAGATCTAGTTCATTTAAACATTCATGCATCAATAAGAAAATGCTAGAACGATAGCGTTTAATAATATGTCAAAAAAGAAAAGGCTTTATTTATGTAGAGGTAAGGTTGTGTCTTGCTTGCATGCTAATACTTGAGTGCTAAGGTTTTAGGAACATTCTCGCGCAAACGTGATGCTACACGCAAATTACTGTCGTAGCAATATTCTTGAAAAGACCTATATTTAGCTGTGGACCATGTAGAAGCGGTGTAAGAATATCCACTAGCCCACATCGTGTCGAGGGATCGTACTCGTCAGAGCCGACAGAGGGAAACTGAAACAGGAGATGGATAGCAGCTTCTTCCTGATGACATCTCAAAATAAATAATTAAAATACTGCAGAAACCAAACTGCTTGATAAGGTTGACAACTATGGTAAACCCCCCTCCCCTCTATGGGGCAATCTGTGGGGGAGGCCTATGTTCATTAGTGGACTTTTATAAGCTGTTATAGATGGCAGCTGTGGACTTGCAGACGCGATAACTGTAAACAGTGATTTTACAGGACAAGGACCGTCTGTACAAAGAACAAAGAAGCACCACAGACCGACTGACGAGCGAACTAAAACAGGTCAAAAGTAAAAACGCCAGTTTGGAAGCCCGATGCGCCTCGCAAGAAGAAGCTGTTGCCACACTCAAGCAACAGCTGGAAATTGCTAGAATAACAGAGAAGGTAATTTCATATATTGGTGCTGAAAGTGCATAGGTATTAGGTACTCTACCATCATAAACTAGCAGCAGTAAGAGATTAAAAATAATTGGCACCAGATGCTTAAACTAAAGTGGAGCTGCTTAATCATTATATACATCTAGGAAATACAGCAGGAGATCCCACTTCTTATGTTAGCAAAAGAAACAGTTTACTGCAAATAAAAATGCACTAATACTGGAACTGGACTGGGAACACATCATGAGGTTAATTGTTGTTGTTACACGCACTATACATTCATTTCGCAATAACAGTTTAACCATACCATAATATGTTCGCGTCAAAATCACACACTAGTGTAACGTGAAGGACACAATTACATAATAACACCAAAGTATGCAAACCAACAGCAATACCACCCACGTAACACACGGTAGCCTCTCAGCGCCACCATACTCCTTGCACCACAATGGATAAAACCACGATAGTCTCTTAGCACTATTACTATGTGGAATGACTTGCGCTCGGCACCTACTTTTTTTTTAAACTTTCATGACACCAATTAGTGGGGTTTCCCGATCAACTCTCAATTCTACCCCACCTCTCGCTCACTCTCGATCCATCCGGTATTTTATAGACGCGCCGATATACATAATTCTTTTGTCCGTGTGTATATGACTGTACTCCTTCAAAACAGCTGGACTGATTTTGATGAAATTTTGTGTGTGTGATTATGTTGATTCGAGAATTGTTAAGATTCACAATTGGACCCGGTAGGTGGCGCTGTTGTTGAGATCTAGAAAATACCCGTGCGAAACTAGAGCGCATCGCTAGTTTTTACTTAATAAAACTGAATTGATAAACGAGCTTACAGTTCATCTGATGGTAAGTGGCTACTGCATGAAGACCGACAGACAACTTCAAACATAGATACAGATGCGATGTCACCTCTGAGGACTAAGATGGAATGCCTCTCAGTCTGTAATTATTTGGCTCTCTATGCAGATCAGACCGGTACGAACACAGTAAAACAAGCACTTTTATGTAACGGCAGAAATAGGTAAGACACCACGCGTATTATCCAGTCGGGTCACCAGTAAAACCCAGGCCTCTCCCCCAAAAGTACGGTTCTGAGTCACCTGCATCTGTTGACTTCCTCCATCTCTTTTTTTTTTTTTTTTTTTTTTTTTTAAAACGTTACCCCTACACTAAGATTTTCTTTGTAGGGGGGCAGTATGATGAAGGACAAAGAGGAAACTAGTAGGCCATACAAACTGGGATGAACCGACCCCAGGCAGCCACTATTGGCCGAGCTTTTGTTACGTGTTAGAGACATGGTGCAGCTATATTATAGTTGTAGCACGTATGGGTTGGCTCGACCGGGGAAAGAACACGCTGTCACAGAATAACAGTGTTAAATAGCAGCTTAATACTGCTGTGTTTCGTATGGTGAGTGTAGAGAACCAAGACCCTTTTTACTGGAAACGAGGCATTCCATCTTACTCCTCACGGGTGACAACGCATCTGCATTTTGATTCTTAATCAAGGATAGATTTAGATGTCTATGTGCCACAACATCCACTTAATATCAGGTGGACAGTGTGCTCTTTTGTCATTCTTAGTCTTTATAAAAGCAGGAGGTCGTCTCTCCATCTAGTGAAGGGCCATCCTTCACTAAAAATGCCGGTACGAGGCTCTCACTCTAAAACCCATCTCCATAGCTCGTGGTTATTTTGAGGCCACAACGGATGTGGAATTTTTTCCATTGCCAATGAGGGCTAATAATTTACCGCTCATCAGATGTCGCTAGTTGAGACTGAGGTGAAGTCAATTCCTACGCAGTGTCACCATAAGTCAAAAGTTTCATATAAAAAAAAAACGGTTTCTAGTTTCTAATGTATACACAATGCGATGCCTCAGTGGTGCTCTTTAATTATTTGCACATTTTCATTTTTCTTTTCAATTCATTTACTTTTGGGAATACCTGTAGTTTGGTTTTATTTATTTTAATCTCATTAATATAAAATATGACCAGTATTTCAGTAAGAAACTTTAAAAATATTTATTGTCATGGCCAACTGAAATCGCGTCTATGAATTCTGTCAAATATTTCACCTGATTCCAAAGACGCGCCCTGGAAAGCTCGCGGAGGCCCTAATTGAGCTGACTGATCCGTTGGTTACTTTTGGTTCTATAGCAACATACATAATTTATAAGAAATACTCATTTTTTAAGGAATTCCGAGATTCAACGCGTAGCCTGTCAGCCTCGCATCAAAACGCCATTTCCCGGCTCGAATCACGCGTCAAATATCTGACAAGTTGCATAGACAAGCAGAACTCGCTCATAGACAATTTAAAGAAACAGAACGCTCTGTTGACAGCAGAGGGCGCTTTGAAAGCTCTGGAAAAGGAATACAGTAACTTATTAAATCAAGACTTTTGATATTAAAGCTCTGAAATGATTTGTTTTATTTTCATTTTACCTGCTTTACTGGAAGACCTTTTTTACGGTCTGGAAAAAATAGGGTATATATGCAAAGGGCGAGATTCACCCTACTTTACGAACGGCAATATAACAATAACTTTAGTAGGCATCTTTGATCATGTCTCGACATTAGTGAGACCTCTAATCTTTTTTACAGAATAAGCTGCAGCGCTTAGTCTGCTTGCTAGTTTAGATATATGGGGGCCCCACTGAAGCTTAGCGTCGAGAGTGATGCCAAGAAAAACAGAGGACTCAGTTCTTCCCCATTACACCCTAGTTTACGCGGTAAAAAAGGTCAACCTGTATAATTCGATTCAATTCTAGCACAAAACTACCGATGTTGTACACTCTGCAAACAACTGATTTTGATTTTGGCAATCTGCAGTGAGAAATAAAATATTCGAGAAACTTTTCTTACAAAACTGAAGTAGCAAACGAACTTACAGTCCACCTGGCGGTAAGTGGCTGCTGCAGTCCATGGACATCTGCAGCCAACTTCAAATGAAGAAGGCTGACACCTCTGAACACTAAGATGGAATGTTTTACAGCCTGTTATTACTGGCTCTCAATACCGTGCTGACCAGCATCAGTGCGTGTAGAGTTGGTGGCAAAAATAGTTAAAAATAGGTATCTACCCAGAGGGACTCCTAGACAAGAAAGGAGTCCAACCACTCAGATTAACTTCGACGACGACGCACTTCTTCAACATGTTTACTCAGTACTAGATAAGGTTCACATATTATACATATATACAGGGTTATATTTCAAAGCCTATCCAAATTTTAAACTTAAATTGAAATGTACAAATAATGATATACCATAAAGTTTTTTAAAATACGAGTAAACAAGGCATTTTTATTTAAAATTATCCCAAATTGAATACGATTTTTGTGTCACAACTACGTGTATGCGCACTCCTCTGTATGCGATTAAATTCACAAAGTTTTTACCGACCAAGCGATTTTTACGAATGTATTCGTGTAGTAAAACGGTACTCGTAGGCGTTAGATATTTATGAATCACAATCTGTTAAAATAATGCTTTACCACGCATTTTGAATTCAAAAGATAAAAAGGGCAGAATATTTGAGATTTTTTATAATTTTTTTTAATTTATTTGCTAGCCATTATTTTTGGAAAATAATATTAGAATTATGAGAATCTCCCTCCTTGGAGAAAGGAGGGCGCAAGCGGCGAAAAGCCGCTTAGAAGTGTGCCTAACTAAGGCAGATTAAGGGATGTGTTATGTAGGCTCGGCCTGAGCCGCCAGGAGGCAGTTCAGGTCAGCCGAAAGCTTGTTGGGGGGGTCCAAGAGAGAGTTTCTCGGTCTGCGCACACTATAGCGAGTGTAGATAGGGGCTGCATAGGCAGCTGTCTCAGGAATGAGATGATTTGGGTGGGACTCTGAGGCTTTGAAAAATCTCTCAGAGAGTGATTTAAGGAACTGCTGGATTGTTGGGATCTCTAAGTCTCGGTGTAGGTCGGCATTACGGACATAATAGGGCTAGTTAGTGGCCCTACGACAGAATAGATTTTGAACTATTTGAAGTTCATTTATAACTTTGGGCTTGGCATGTGCGAAAATGGGGACCGCGTAGGTCATGACAGGTCGTATGCAGACCTTATATAGGGTTCGCTTGTTGCGGAGGGACAATTTACTGTGTCTGCCCAACATGCTGTTGAGCCTATCCATACAATATCGTGCGGTGCGAGTTACCTTCTTGATATAGGGCTCGAAAGTGAGGCTTGCATCAAGGGTGACGCCTAAATATTTGGCTTTTGTTTGCCATGGGACAGGGGTTCCTTACATCCTGATTGGCGGAGTGGTGGTGAGACGGCGTCGTTTATATTCGAAGCAAACGGTGTAGCTCTTCTCCGGGTTTACGTCGATACGCCATTTTTGGAACCAAGCTCCTAAGTCGTTAACTGACTTTTGGATCTTGTTCCGAATCTGTGGCAGTGAGTTGACTTTAGAGTAAAGGGCTATGTCATCTGCGAAGAGGGCTAGTTTAACACCGTTCGACGGGATAGGGATGTCGTTGGTGAATAGTATATATAGGAGGTGGGTAAGCACAAAGTCTTGAGGGACACCGGCTTTGATTTCACGAGTAGAAGATAGCGTGCCTTCGTGTCTTAATCGAAAGGTACGATCCTTCAGATAGGACGCTACAAGGCAGATAGGACGGTCAGGGAGGCCTAAGTCGTACAATTTGTAGATAAGATCCTCGTGCCAGACTCTGTCGAATGCCTTGGCAATGTCGAAAAAGTCCGCGATGGTTTTTTGACGACGAGGATAAAAACCACTGAGGATATATTCCACTATGCGGTGAACTTGCTGGGGGCAGAAGTGTTTGGCTTGAAACCCAAATTATTGAGGGACGACAAGAGGGCCGCCGTCTGTGGAAAACAAATACCGCCTCATGCGCACGAGAATAACTCGTTCGAAAAGTTTGCCCATGGCCTTGAGGAGGCTGATTGGAGGGGAGGTGGTGAGGTTTGCTTGGCTTGGGAATGCCAATACCAGTTGCCTCTTTTCAAGAGGCGGCAAAGTAGCTGAATTCGAAGAAGGCGTTGAAGATTATGGCTAATAAGGCGATTACCTGCTCCGGAAAGTGTTTGAGGGCTTGGTTGGAGATGCCATCCGCACCCGGTGCTTTTTTGGGCTTAAGTCCTTTGATGGTATATGCAATCTCATCTTTGGACACAGTGATAGGGTCATAGGCGGTGGGGGGCGAGTTCCTTCGACGGACCTCGTCCTCCACTAGTTTGATGTGTAGGGTGTCAGTGGGTTGTGAGTTGGGAGAGCATTGAGCGGCGACGCCGTCGACGAAACACTCAGCCTTTTCTTCGTCCTCGATGGCAATAGAGCCGTCGGGTCGAGACGTATATCCGGAGGGCTTTCGCCATCTGGTAGTACGCTGTGTGGGGGGGGGAGATTTTCTCCATGAGATTGCCCCTTTCGAGGTCTCTGTAATCTTTGAGGCGGTAACGGAGTTTGCGTTGAAGGCGGTGGGCCGTGAGTCTATACTCGGGAGTGGGATAGCGTGCAGCTCTACGGAGGGCAGCTTTTTTGGCTTTGAGTAGGTTGTTAATATCTAGGGGAAGACTAGTTTTAGCAACCGGGACGACCTTTTCATTCTCTTTAAGAGAGGATGTTATAAGTGAGGTGAGATTTGCGACTGCGGTGTCTATTTTCCCCGTACTGTCGAGGACGTCGGAAGAAGGGGTTATGGGAGGGTCCGGAGAGTCTATAGCCGAGGCTAGAGACTTCTTGAAGCCCTTCCAGTTGGTGTAGGTTTTGGAAGGGGGAGTTGGAGGTGGCTGATGGCCAAGAAGGAGGGATACAGGACGGTGGTCGGATCCTAGATCATCGAGAGACTCGATTGCTCTAAGGTTAAGGGAGACTCCTTTAACTAGAGCAAAGTCTAGCAAATCAGGAGCGTAGTTGACGTTGTCGGGATAGTGGGTGACAGCGAGGGGGCTGTAGACAGTCAGGTCGAGAGACTGAGTGATATTGAGCAGCACCCTGCCACTACTAGTAGTAGTGCGGCAGGTCCATTCAGTATGCTTGGATTTAAAATCTCCAAACATAATGACTGAGTCGCCTAATGCAAGGATGGCTTCGAAATCACTCTTAACGGGGAGGGTTCCGCTAGGGATATAGCAAGAGGCTATAATGATAGACTGGTGTCCAGTCATGGCTAATCTAGTGATAGTGGCTTCCATACTGGTAAGCGTCGGAGTGGGGATGTGGGAGCAATGAAGGGACTTTTTGTAATAAATGGCAGTACCGCCGCCTTTGCGGTCGGGTCTGTCATTACGAAGAAGTGAATAATTTTTAATAGAGAGGCCTTTAGAGACCTTAGGGATGAGGTGGGTCTCCTGAAGGAGGAGGAGGTCGGCTTCGCGATCTCGAAGAAATAGCCTAAGCTCTGGGAGGTTATTTCGCAAACCGCGGATATTGAAAGAAACAAGCGACAAACCCTTTGGTTTGATACGACCTTGCGATATTGCGGGAGCAGAGGGCCCCGGCATAGTGTTATTACAACGACCTTAGTAGGTCGATGTGCTCAGCAAGAGCAAGGAGACGGTCCTGAGGGGACTGAGTAGCGCACAGTTTACGCGCAAGGATAGAGATTTCCCTATATTGATCTTATTCATAGTGTTAGACTCTAGGCTTAGATCATCTACTATAGGGTCTGCCTGTTTTTGTAGGTCGGCGGAAGGCCGCGTTATATTATTTGCCTTTGGAACCAAGGGTTTATTGAGACCGGCGCAGGCTGGGAGAGCAGAAGGCTCATAAGGGGCCGTAGAGGGCCCTGAGGTGGCCGATAGGGGCCCTGAGGGGCCGATAGATGCCCTGTGTGGGCTGAGATGAGCCCTGAGGGGGCTGTGGTAGGGGCTGGCCCTGGCGGGGCATGCGGCTTCCAAGAGCCGGGAAAGTTCGGTCATTGACCTGGGGTGGAGCGTTGTGGCTCAGAAGTGGGCGAGGAGCGCGAGGGCAGCCTCTAAAGTTGGCCGGGTGGCCTGTTTGTCCGCATAGGACACATGCGGGTGGGAATTCGGTGTTTTTGGACCGAGGGCACTCTTTCGAGTGATTGGGTTCTAGGCACTTAACGCACCTGGGTGGGGCTGAGCAGTTGGCTGCCGCGTGCCCATAGAATAGGCAGCGGTGGCACTGCGCTGGGTAACCGCGCCAGTGTGGGGCTTCGACCTTTACACGCGACAGGCCGCACACAGGGCCTTCGCCTCCGGCACATTGGTGAGAACGAGGAGGGCGAGGTTAAATCTCTCGCCCCTGCTGCTGTGCATCTTGTGTACAGCCTCTATGGGGAAGCCTTGGGACTTAAGGAACTCCGCGGAGGATTGCCTTGATTTTCCTTTCTTCGGCGAGAGCGTATGTGTGATAGGACACACGCTCGGCCGTGAAGAGACGGGTTGTATTCCGGAAGTCTTCTA